TTTTTTTTTTTTTTTTTTTTTTTTTTTTGTCCTCCCCCCTTCTTCCACTCGAAGAAGAAAAGAATATATATGAATACGTCTGCACATGTGCAGCTCCCCATGTATAATGCGCTTACGGAGGGAACTTCTTAGCACCATAGTTGTCCCACTCCACCAGTTTGTGCAAGCCCGCTTTTTTCGTACATTTTATTATTCCCTCATTTCTTCCCTTTTTTTTTTTTTTTGCAACCCCTTCGAATTTTACGACGCAGTGGAACCTACCAACCCTTGCCTCCATGTTTATGCCAATTTATTTGTACATAAAAAAAAAAAGGCGGCATGGCATGTGGGAAAAGTCCCCATCCCGTGTCCCTGCGTAGAAATTGAACAATGAAAAAATGTGCACATGCACGTGTTTGGGTGGAGTATCACCTTGGAATATTTCTGCCCAGCGGCGGTTTAATTTTACAAAATTTGTTTTATGGGTAATCGCGCGCTTAATTTTATGTGCCTGCAAAAATGCGTTGCATTGAAAGTTGTTACGTGAAACGACAATATGGTGGGTATTTCGCGCGCGCATTCTTTGTGGTCACTTTTTTTTTTTTTTTTTTTCGTGCCCCCTCGCTACGCCACTAAGGGGGCAACCCCTACCGGTGTTAGTGCATCCCTCAGTGTCGTTTAGAACTGTGGTCCCCCCGGATAAAAGTACCGTCGCCACGAGCATTCTTATGGACCTACGAACGGGCAAACCGGCAAATCTGCAACGCTGAAAACATCTACGAGAATATGTGAGTGCTCCTTTTTCGGATGACGTAGAATAACGTAACATTTGATGAAACTAATATACAACATTCCCCTTTTGCGAGCGGAAGCATCCTTTCTTCAGTAACATTTACAACAAAACGCTGCATTTTTTTTTCTTCTTTTTTTTTTTACCCTCTCTTTTTCTACGAACCACTAGGTTATTATATACCTGTGTTGTAAAATTGTACTAATAATTTACCCCCCTTCTCGCATAACATCCTTTTTAAGACCCATGAAAGAAGGAAAACAAAACGTTGTAGTTAGCCATGGTGATTCTAAAAGTATGTGCATACGAGGTTTTGCATTCTAATGCTTAATGGCAGAGTGGCAGATGATTGGGGGATTATGAAAAGAACGACACAGAGCGGCACATCACGGCATTGTAGGAAGGATTGAAGGGCCTTTCATGAAATGCTTGTGGGAGAAATAGCTTTTATAAAGGCTGTTATCACGTGCAAGGTCACACACTTACCTGCACATAGTACACTTGATCAACCAACACTCCCTTTTTTACGTGCACCCCTGTTTCTTCCCTTCGCTTAGCAGATAACAAACGTCTCCGGGAAAAAAAAAGAAATTCAGCGGACAACAATGTAAATGATTCTACATTCCTCGGTGTTGTATACTTTTTCATGCATCAACACGTATATGTATCCCTGTACACGTGCATATGCTCACTCGTGAATCGCAAATGTGAGTATTTCACCTAAGGAGCATCCTCCCCCCCCATCCCTTTCCCTCGTAGGATCAGCATAATGAGTTACTAAAATATAAGCAGAGCTTTTACATAATCAGGAAAACGATCAACCTTATAAAAAATGTAAGCGGCATTATCCAAGCGCGCAGCGCTCATGTGCTCATGCGTTCACTTGGTCATGCGATCAGCTGTCCATCCGTTCATCGCCCGTTTGTGCATTTCCCCCTACAGCACTACAGCAATAAAATAAACAAGTCGGACACCCTGCGGGAGAGGGAGCGGAAGCACCTGTCCCACCTGAAGCGGGAAAATGTCATTCTAGAAGATAAGGTAAATTTGAGCAACAAAAGGAAGTATTCCTGAATGAAGCCAAGCAAAGTTAACATGCACCATAATGATCTTCTTCTCCCCCCACTAACAATTTCCTTCCTCTGCCTTCCCATAGTGCACCTTTTACGCTGAACATGTAGAGGAGCTAAAGAAGATATACACAGGTGAGCGCAGGAGAAGACCAGGGGATTGTATCAACAGCAGTGGCACATTAACATAAGACGTGAAAATAACATGAAAAGTGGGTCCAATTCAACCTATACAAATGTTTTTTTTTTTTTTTTTTTTTTTTTTCTACCCTCTTTTAAATTTCAGAGCAGATAAAACTTAAGAATAACAAAATAGAAAATCTGCAAGATGAGTTGGACAAAATGGTAAGCGTCCGCATATCACTGCGCGAGAGGGATCACACACGGAAGTATGTTACAGACGTATATATATATAACCCTTATTCACTAACCCACACATGTGCCTCCCCCCTTTTTTTTTTTCAGAGGCAAACCACGGAGGGTGAAGTCGAGTCCAACAGCACACGTAAGTTGCCATGCGGTTGCCATGCGGTTGCAACGCAGCTGTTGTGTAAGTGCTCGGCCATGTGATCGATTCGCCACGCACCTGCTCACCATCTTGTAACCGTCTCTTGTCCCCGCTTGGCAGGAATACTTAAATTGCGAGAGGACCAAATAGAGAGACTGTCGCAGCAACTGGAGTCCATCAACGGCTTGTACCACAAGGTTAGGGTTGGCACAAGGGATAGCTCTTCCCTTGCATGTGTATGCGTTTGTCCATACGTTCGTCCATACATTCGCCAATACGTGCGTCTATACGTGCTGCTCACTCCATCGCTCCCTTCTTCTTGTCCCCCCCTCGCAGCAAGTCGACAGTAACAAAAAATTGATGAAGGAGATAGAAGAAGTTAACAAAAGCGTAAGTGTGGAGATCATGAGCATAGGACTGTGAATCGATCTGTGCACAGATGAGAATTGTCACCAAAACGGGGGCGACATCTTGTTGTGAAAAGCAGCATCCATGAAAATTTCCTTTTTTTTTTTTTAAAAACGCTTTGCAGATTTTGTACCTTAATAATAAAATACAGGAAGAAAAAAACAACCGCGACAATGTTAGGAGAAGGCTCAAAGTAAGCGCTCTGCGTGAATGATGTTATTTTTTTTTTGTGTAGTGTAACCAATGAGGACGTGTTCACGAGAAGAGCAATAGGAGAGAACCCCACACAACGGATGTAGTGTATTTTTTTTTTTTTCTACATTTGTTTCACTCTGCGCGCATCTCCCTTCCACTCTACAGTATTACAAACGATACACGAAAAATAAGAAACGATTCAAGCTGAACTTTGACATGATGATGGATGATGAAGAAAATGGACGAGGGGATAATGAAGAGGAGGATATTTGTGTGTCTGTCTTATGTCACTTAAAAACCGAACTAGACATGATAGACGAAGAGAATAAAAAGAAAACTGACAAGAGAGGAGTCCATGATGGAGACAACAATTGGAATAAAAACAGAAACAAATACACTGAAAAGGACAGGATAAAAATTCAGAGCAATAATTTTTTTCAAAAAATTTTTGAATCAAATTATAACAAAAAAAAAAAAAAAAAAAAAAACTACTCTATTCGATACAATTTACAAAAAACAATTTTTTTCCTTTTACGAAAAAGCCTTTACTGAAAATAGCGACGTCAAATTTGAGAACAAAAAAGTGCTTTCCTCTCCGGTGAAAAATTTAAAAAAAAGAAATGACGGGTATAGTGTTTTGCACAAAGGGATGAAGGAGAATATTCAAAAAGGGGAAGTAAACAGGGACACGACGAGGAGGGACAACAACGGCAGTAGCAACAGTCATAGTGACCTAAATCAGCACAATGGGGTAAACTCGAAGACGCGAAATAATAATGGAAACGCCCTATCCTTAAGCAACATTTATTTTTATAGCAGCTTCGATGATAACTTTGACGATAAGTATGATTACTTTGATCAGGACGCCCCCAGTGCGGGACGGCCCTCCGGGTGTGAGGCGAAGGAAAGCGTGCACCCTGGTGGTAGGGAAGTGAAGCAGAGTGAGCAGAGCGAAGAGGGCACTCAAGGAGGTTCACCCCAAGCAGCAGATGGTAACCCCAATGCACGTACCCCCAGAAAGACAAACCGTACTGTGGAAAATATCCCCGAGGAGCTGTAGAGGCACCCAAAAAAAAAAAAAAAAAAAAAAAAAATTGTGAACCCGTTTTTGCAAAAGGATAATTTAAAATTGTTGCTCTTGACATATTTTTGTTGTGATTCCCTCCCTTCCCCCTTCGAAATATTTTCCCCCTGATTTGATGTGGAAGTGAGAAGGGGAGGAAGCTTCCAAAGTTAGCGTATTGCAGAAAACGTGTGACTTACGCGCGAATTCAAAAATGGGAGAAAGAAGTGTAAAGAAAAGGGGGAAAAAAAAAAAAGGGACGATACATGCATGTGTATGTGTGTGTTTTTTTATCTCTTTGCATCGAGTGCATCATAACGTATTTTGTGCGGAGTACCATGTTGATCCAGTTTGGCAAGCCCGCTGTCGAAGGGGGGGAGAAGGTAAACTCCTCCCAGCAGTGGTGATGACCAGAGTGAACCCGTTCACTCCCCCTTCCCGCGCCATATATGATGCATCCTCCCGCCCCCCTCTCTCACGACAAAGACATTTTAAACTTCCTATATTCGTAATTTAAAAAAGAAAGCATTTTGTTTTTGTAATTTATTAACTCCCTGAGATGTACATACTCCGACTCGTTCAGGAGGTAAATTTTTTTATTATTTATTTGAAAATTTCGAATGTTATACGAATCTAAATTTTTTTCTAGTAGCTTTTTGTTGTAGAGGAGCTCATTGTCGATAAGGTCAGATGTGTTAATTTCGATCGGGTCTTTTGAGGATTCTTTTTTTTGAAATATGTTTCTAATCATGTTGATAATTTTTTGGAAGAACACATTGGTGGTTCTTTTTTTTTCCAAATATGAAATGTGTGTGTTATTAAAATTGTTTGTTGTTTTTGTGTCGGTAACATTTTGGCCGCTGTCTCCAATTTGGGGAGTTGCGTCGTCTTCCCTAACTCGCTGACCCGTATTGCATTCATTATTATCATTATTGATTGTGTTGGACTCTTCTTTGTTTCCTTTTCCCTTAGAGGAACGCATATGTTCTACGCTCGCGCTTTTATTTTTCTTCCCACTTGCCTTGCTGCCACGCTTGGTCTTCGTGCCCCCTCCACTCACAGGGGATATATCCACCGTCACGTAGTCATTTATTTTTTGTATTTCATGATTGATGCGAGTCTCGAGTTCTTTGAAGGCTGCATGGGAACACTCGTCGCCATCTTTAAAATGAACCCCCTCATTGTTATTACCCTTGTCTGTGATATATTCGTACAATTTTTTAAAGTCTTCATTTTCTATCAAATTCGCCAACTCATTCATGTTAAGTCCGTTTTGCGACACACGAATAGTGTTGCGTGGGCTGGGTTCTTTTTGTTTGTTTTGCTTTGGGGTCACCCCACCTGTTGGCAATTCACTACGATTTTCAGTATCCTCCTTGTCGGCGAAGTTCACCGATTTTTCTACCATTTGTCCCTCCCCTTCTCCTTTGATGCTGGTAAATTTTACGCTTTGATTGATCCCGCTGGTGATGTGGAGAATGTCTGAGGGGTCCGCTGGCTGGATGTCCTTAATGGAGAAGTACTTGTTCTGCTTGGGGGGTGCATGAGCATGGGCGCGTTTGTCGTTGTCCGCCCCTGTGGCATTCTGCACGGCGTCCTCCCTGTGGACGCTCCCCTCTAACATGCTGTGTATGCACCTGAAGTTCGCATTATGATGGTGGCCATAATTATTAAACAGCTCCGTTTGTATTTTGTTAAAGAAGTAGTTGCTGTTGAGGTCCTTCAAAGTTCCGCTATGTTGAAACATGGTAGCGGAGTGGATAAAATTATATATGGTGTTATTTTTCTCAATGATTTGTCTGTCCATATTTTCCTTCAAATCGAAATTTGTAAAAACGGTACTTTTGTCTGTAGTAAAATCGCTAATAAATTTTGTATAATTATTATTCACATATTCGAAGATGTTTTGTATATTCTTTACACTTAGGATGTTTCTAGCAAAGTACTCAGGTTGGTATACTTCCACTTGGTGTTGTGCATGCTCATCTTTTTCTACGTGATCTCCTTTCCACCTTATCCATTTCCTTCCCCCTTTGTGATCTGCCTTCCTATCAGCAATGGACAGTTTATCCTTTCCAGTTGCCCCTTTTGCATTTGCCTTTCCCCTTCCATGGTTGGCAGGATCATGTGTGGAGTGATTTGTGTCTTTGTAAATCGAATGATTCCCTTCACTCTCTTCCACTTGGCTCTTCCCTTCCGTTTGACTTCCCATAGCATCTGCCTTGCCGAGCTGGTTCAATTCATTCATTAGAAAAATGTTGTTGTTTTCCTTCACGGTGTTCACAATGTTAAGCATCTCGTCGAACATTTGCGCGTCCTCCTTTAGGTTGCTTTTCAAACTAGTTAAGTTAAATTTCAGTATGTTACAAATATCATTTTTCATTTTTATTAGTATGTCTCCTATTAGTGCGTCTTCTTCTTCTTCCAGGTGAGATCCATCTTTGATCACGCTTAGGTGAGGGACGTCGGGTGCAATTTGCCCATTCGGACCGCTCTTGTCCCCTTCGCCAAACAATTTATTTCCTAACAGTTTGTGCAGGTGGTTATGCCTTTTGCCCGCACCTGACTGTTCCTGTACCTTATTACTTTGTAGCTTCTCCTGTTGGGTCTTCAAGTACCTTTCCTTTTCCTCCTCGGTTAGAAGTTTGAGCTCATCGAATGTCTTTAGTATACACTCATTAACGTCGTTGGTGTCGGTTCCCTCTTTGTTCAGTTGGTCTTTTATTATATCAATTTTGTTCTTGTAGGACTCGATGAAAAAGTCTAGGTACTTGACCTTGCCAGTGCTTTTGAAGCCACAAATGTAGCTAAAAATGCAGAGACTAAAGGAGAAGAAAATGATATCCTTGGTAATATGGTTTTGATTAAAATTGAGGAAAATGTCCGCCGGTTTCTCCTTAACATTATTCTCATTCTCGCTTCCTTCCTGTTTACTATGGTCATTCTCTTTATCACATTTTGTTTCCATTTTTTCTTCACGCACTACTGGCTTGGCTTTCACCATTTTAGCCCTCTGCGCGAATTTGATGGTGGAGGCTGTTTCGTTCAGGTAGTGCAGCTTTGAGGACAAGGTGCAGATAAGGATACTCTTGCAGTTGTTGCCCAGGCTGTCGGAGAGCACTCTTGTGAGTTTGGAATCTCGGTAGGGGATGTGCATGCTGGGGGTGGGTCCCGCCATGGGTCCGCCTTGCAACTTGGCCTTCTTCGCCTGGTTGTGCACGCTCGCTTTGTGGGCGTCTGTGTGCTCTTCCTTCTCCACAAACTCTTCACCAGCTGGTGTATCATCTGCATTTGCTGCAGTGGAGTCTTCGGCCAGGGGAAAAACCTGATCAGGCGGCTTCTCCTTCGCCGTCTTGTCCATTTTCTCCTTAATCTGCATGACAGCCAAGGCGTTTATAACTTTGCTAAGGACAGTTAAGCTTTTGTTAATCATGGTGGTTTCTATTTTGACGGAGCCAGTGGCCTTTGTTTGTTTAAGTCGTTCACTTCCAGCCAAATCCACAAGACACAACTTTCCACACCTGACCGTATTGGTAGCATGAATATACCTATTAATTTTTATAATAAAAATAAGGTGAGATCTGGAGGAAGTTTTGTTCATATGTGTAAAAGCGATTTTCCTGTTATTAACTCCTTCTTCCAAATAATGAAGAGCATTAATAACATTTTCTATTTCAACTTCCCTCAAATTTTTAATAACAAATTCATTTTTGTTTGAATCGATCATATGCACAGAGAGGTTACTCTCTCCACTAATCAAGTCATAAATGATTTCATTATAAATTTCAAGAATGGACATGGTCACTACAAATTCTTTCCTCCCATTCGGTGGCTCCTTTTCGCTTTTGTGATAGCTTATATAATTGAAAATATAATTTATACAGTGAGGAATGAGCCCCACATGGTTAGGCTCATTGGATATACAATTGGTCAGTTCTTCATAAGTGATAGCAATGCTATTATCAACTGTAGGGCCCATTTTGCTGGTCTGGTTTTCTTTACACAGATGAAACAAATTATTTAAGTACTCGAAATTTCCTAGCATGGTGTACGTCTTCCCACTGTTTGTTTGACCATATGCCATGATGCTACAATTAATGCCCTGAAATATATTTTTTATATTATGCTTAATATAATCATTAAAGATCATTTGGTTGCTGTTTTCAATATCGTATACTCGATCATATGTATACTCTAAATTGAGTCCATTGTTTTTGTTTCCCATTGGACATGTATCAATAACAAGCTTGTTTTTAGCTACCTTTTTTATAACATCCACATGGTTGCTTTGTGTCTCTTCTCCTTTTTCCTTCTCACTTATATCATTTTTTATTCTGCACACCACACTTATGTACTCCTCTACATTTTTCTCCACCTCCGTATCCTCGAAGTAAGCATTTTTGTCCCTTTCAATTTCTTCGTTTTTTTTTTTTTTCTGCTCGATGTTGTTTTGAATGTACCACTGGTGGATATCCTTATGATCCTCCTTATGAGCGTCTTTCTCTTTGCACGCCTTTCCCCCCTTATTGGCGTGCCTGTCCTTGGGGGCCGATGTCGCACTGTTGTGCTGGGCGTTCTTATTTATGCGGAACACCATATTGTGCGTGGTTAACAGAGAGACGTGTCACACGCGCTGAATGGCGTCGCATGTGGTTAGTAGCGTAGCTGATGGTACCTCAGCCGCTTCCCCGTTTTACCGCTTCGAGAAATTATCCCAGCTGTGACACGAATGCAAAATGCATCTCCTTGTTGACAGAATTTATGAGAAACTATATAAGGGGAACTTTATGGGCATCCTTTGTGAGCGCCTTTCCCGCGTGCACATGGGCATGTAGAGGCATGTGCGAACGTTATAGTTTGGGCCTATATAGAAGGACACAACGCGATGGACAGGGGGAAATAAACAAAAATAAGTACATATAAGCGAAAAAAAAAATATAATATAATTAAACAATGTTGCATCTGCAGTAGGGGCCTCAATAAGACACACATCGCCGCCTCACACTTTAGCGCATTTTGGCAGATTCCCTAATTTTTTTTTTTTTTTTTTTTTTTTCTTATAATGAGAACCACTTGCGAAGAGGGTCATAAATGTACCCACGCCTACTGCAAATGTCTTCCCGCGCATTTGCAAAGTAGGAACTTCCTTTTCAGCGTTAGCATGATATGTAAGGTTGGCACAGAAAAAAAAAAAAACAGAAAAAAAAGTGGGAACTCCCCCCTTTTACTTCTACGTGTACCTCCATGTGTGTACCAGTACAGGAGTGTACACACGGCTGTACACATGATCCACCTCGACACGAATTAGGTACATAGCCCGACATACACAGACCTCTCTCTGCGGTACCGACTCTTCACCCAGTGCCCAAACCATTTCTAATAGGTCATTATATTGAGAATTATTATTGCTAGCACTTTTGTGCGGACAAGGACGATGTTTATGAGGTCATCATTTTTATGAAGTTTTATACGTAAACAGGAGAGTGCAGCATTCAGAGGGGCTGCATTAAAAAAAAAATTCTCTGTGTAACGATTCGCCCACATGATGTGGTTATGCTCCTACCAGTCCCCCTCCCTCCGGTATGGTACCTTTCATGGAGGGGGGAAAGAAAAACCTAATGACATGTTGCTAATACGTCCCCTTTTGGATGGTGTCAGTAAATATACACACCGCGCCGTTGCAAAAAGGTGAAGCATTTCCCCTTAAAAAAAAAAAGCATCCCTTATGAAGAAATGCCCATTACGTACACATACCTGCCCATGAGGCGAAGTAAAACAAGTTCTATATAAAATGGGGCTCAGGGGGAGGAGGGGTCTATTTTATCCTCCCTTTGTAGCACTCTATGAGGGGTGTTATCCATCTGGGTGATATTTCCCAACAGGTACTTTCAATGTGCGGGCGTGCATGTCAGTCCTTTGGCCATGTTGCGGGGAACATTCTCCGCCTTTTTTTTTAATTCCTTAAGGCGTTTATTTCCACAAGCCGATGAAACTCTCCACGTTTATGTAAAACTCATGGAGGGACACCTTGCCAGTTGGTGCACACGAAAGTGTGTTAGAGCAGGGTAGGAGGTGCAATGGGCACATTAGGCAGTCCATGTAAGGCTCCTCAGAATGAACAATGCAATACTCACCCCTTTCGTATGGGTTAACCAAGGGAGACTATTATTTCACTCCTGTCGGATGCATATCCCTAATGGATCGTTCCAACGGCGTAGGCACTCCAAATGAGAACAGAAACAGGGGAACTTAAAATGAAAAAAAAAAAAAAAAAAAAAACAAAGTTCATCCAGGCATGCGTATATATGCATACTTAATAAACCTTCATCTGATGTGGTAAGCCGTTCTGCATATGTTCCTTCAACGTTTGGCGCCACACCGACGCGGTCAACATGGCTTAGGGATACCAAGTAGGGGAAAACACAGTCCACTAAAAAATGACTTAAGTGAAATTCTCACGTACGCGTATTTTTTGGAAATACCCAAAGGTGATGCGATTATTTTATTTTATTTTTTTGTTTGAAAAATTGTCATTTTCCATGTGTCCCTCTGTTGCACAAAAAAAAAAAAAAAAAAAAAAAAAAAAAAAAAAAATTGAAACGTTGAAGCGTTGAAACGTTGAAAATGTGAGGGAATGGGAAAAAAAGAATTGGCACCGAACTGGTGGAACAGCGCGGAACAGTGAACGCAAAAATAAGTAGAAAGCACTTTGAAGGAAACAAGCAATGTAGTATTCTTTAAATGATTCAACGAACATGAAAAAACTCGAGGGAATCCTTCTTTCTTTAAATTATCCACCAAGAGAGACCTCACATGCATGTACATATTATAACATACACGTACATATTTTATTATTATACGTGTTTATGAAAAATCGCCCCTTTTGTTGACACAGGCGGAGGGAATTCTTTGCATTTGCCTACCTCCATTTGATGGTCAGCACTGGCGAATTTTCCAATAGCGGAAAAGTCACACCGGGCAGAGCTCACAACAGCTCATGTTCGTGCATATCATCCTCCGAGGACTATTACGCAGTGCTAAGCGCTTTTGTGAAAAAGATCAATCGCGGGGGAAGGTGCGAACGCAAGAACGCCTTCATGTAACCTATGCGTTAATGCATGTATATACTTAGCGTCCACATAGGAACGTAGCGGTGGACGGTGGGGAACAAAGAGATTTTTCTGTTATATATATTTGCCACAGTCCTCTTTAAGAGTGTGAGGACAGGCCCCTCACCGTTGTTAGAAAAGAACAGAAAAAAAAAAACACAAGTAGGAAATTTCCCACGTGAAATTTTTTTTTTTCCCCCCATCTGCATACCCTTCCATATAATTTGCCTACTGTTGGAGATCGTTCCTAAACTCGCCTCCGTTGCAAAATCCGAATAAGCGCTCCTTTTTTGCTTTTACATGTTTCCGTCGATTCGCAAAAGCAGGCGCACATGCGTAAGCGCACCTACGCACTTATATATATGTACATATACACCCTTAAATAAATTTATGTTGTGTCTTTGGCACGTTGCCATTCCTTCGCCGTGCTGCGTTTCCTTCGCTGCGCCGGGAGAGAACCTTCCCCCGCACGTATACGAACGTCCTGTACAGAAGGAGATTTTATTTCTTCGTTGGTGATTCCCCCGTGGGGTTCCCCCAATGGGCGCTTTAAAAAAAAAAAAAAACGGCGTGGCGTGTCGCATGTCCACTGTAGTGTGTTTGTGTCCGCGCCGTTCGCTTGGTTGACGTCGTGTGGCCAACTGATTGGACAATTTAGTTGGCCTTTTTAATTCGCCAAAATCATTTCACGCGCGAAGTTTAACTTAATCCCGTGAAGTACGTTTTTTTTTTTTTTTCCATTTTTTTTTCTTTATTTTTTTGTGCAACAATTAGTTGTAAAATTCCCCCCTCCCCGAGGCGTTTTTTTTTTTTTTTTTTTTTTTTTCGTGAAATATTAATTTTGCTGCATTTAATCCTCCGCAAAAATTTGGGACTCCATTTTTAACCGTTACACGGGTCCGCATTAAGATTGCGCCAACATCGGGGGTGGGGTGTATTGGAGCCAAATTTTGTTGTACCATTTGGACAGCATTGGGGATGTACTGCTGCGAAAATTTCCCTCTTTTCTGTTAGCAAGTGTGTGACCCGTAAAGTGCAGGGGCGCAACTTGGAATGAGTTGTTGTTGGACGGCTGCTTCCGTGGGATGGTCGTACACGTGTATTATTTTTGTGTGTGAATTTGGGGAGTCTGCGCATACGCATAAATGCGTCTGAACAAGACACCCCAACAGACGTAACTGCGTCACACCGTGGACCATTCACCCCCTCCCCTTTGTGAATCGTCCAACCATAAGTAATTTCTTCATCTTCAAATTTCCATTTTGTCCTATGCCGCCATAAAGGTGAGATCAGGAACATGGGGAAATGACCCTGACATTAAAACATTAGCAGTGTGGTCATGTACCATTTTTTTTTTTTGTTCATCGTGCACATTTCGTCTCCCCCTATCATGTTGTGAGGAGACAGTCCCCCTCATCACACTTTCATATCTTTTATCCTACTTTGCAGATGTTATTATTTAAAAAGGTTAATTCAAAGGTGTTAAGCATAAACAACTATTTGCAGAAGTAAGACTTGTTGAACATGGGGAGTTTTTTTTTTTTTTTTTGTACCCTCCCTGCCCCGTGTGAAGGGCGAAAAAAAAAAAAAGAAATGTGTGGAGTACCTTCCAATGTAGACGCAATTTTTCGTGGCATGTTATGTTACCCTAAACCTCACCTAAACGTCCTTTTTTTTTTTTTTAGGTATTTAGAGTCCAATCAGTTTGAAAAAAACCTCAAAGAAGCTTTAAACAATAAAAATTATGGCGTATCGAATAGCCTTCTATATGCCCTATCCATCTCAACGTACGATTCGAATTACTATAAGAGGGTCCTGAGCGAGGTTTTCAAGGCCATCCAGGAGAAGCCGTCAAAATGGAGAAGAATATATAAGGTTAGTTCAAGGGCAGCAGTCTTGCTCCCTCTCCCTCCCCCCCCAAAAAGGAAAAAAAAAAAAAAAAAGAAAAAGAAAAAAATTCCTCTTTTTTGATGTGTCATTTTGGGAATGATGACTTGGTTTTGGTTATACGTTATACATGTTTTTGCATAATTTCTTAATTATTATTATTATTTTTTCCCCCCTTTTTGTGTGTCCCCACCGCAGGGCTTAAGACTGTGCGAGTACGTAATGAAGAACGGGTGCGAGTACTTCATCAGCGATGTGAAGGACAAGGAGGAACTCATTAAAAAGCTTACGCACTTTACCTACTTAGAAGATCTAAAGGATAAGGGAGTATGCATAAGAGAAATTTCAAACAACATTTTAACATTGTTAAGGGACAACAAACATTTGAGGAATGAAAGAATAGAAGCTGCGAAATATGCAAACATTTGCACGAATATAGAATCCAAGCCAGTTGAAAAAAAAGGATTTTTTTCAGGTCGGAAAAAGAAAACAAAAAATAAAGGGAAAAAAATCCTGGAGAACAACAAAAGAAATTATATGGACAACAGAAATACAAGAAATGAACAAGAGAAAAGTATATTCGATCAGATAGAGGAAGAGAGGAATATGCTAAACAAATATACAAGCAATAATTACGACACAAATGATATGACACACAGGTCGGATGATGTAAGGAGAGGTGGGGGACATCATTCTTCCAGTGAGTCCTCATCCGACTCAGACTCCTCTGACGACAGTAGTGGGAGTAGCGGAAGCAGTAGTAGCAGTGGACGTGACAGCGATGGGAGTAGAAGTAGAAGCAGTGGCTACATGTCAGGGCATAAATCAAACAGAAGGAAATCAGGTAGAGGAAGAAAGCATAGAAATGCATCTTCACATTCTTCAAAATATTCTGGTTCTTCTTCAGCATCTCATGATGCTTCCAGATCTTCAAATATGTCTCGTTCCAAGTCAGCCCGTTCATCATCGCATGCGTCATCACGAAGTTCCTCGCGTAACTCTTCCGCCTCGTCCTCTGCGTCGAGATCATCATCGCGATCTTCCCGCTACTCCTCCGCGTCAAGTCAGTCCAGTTACTCTTCGAAGAAGAAATCCCACGCACGAGATAAGAGTCGGAAGAGCAGGGGCTCAAGAAGGAACAAGTCAGGGCGCTCCAGATGAGCAGCCACCGGGAGAGAGGATGCACAGCTGCCAGGAAGTTTAACACACCAGGTAGAATATCCAAATGGAGAAAACACAAAGAAGAGCATTATTTACATGCGAGCATAAATTGAACAGCTTTGGCAGGATCAGTAGGGCGTGCCCCCTTAAAAAATGATGAAGCTACCTTCGAACATTTTAACCCTTCGAAGTTTTGTACAAAGGGGAGCACAGCGGAATGTAAGTTTGTTTGCATATGTAGTAGGTTTCGTGAAGGCCTATATGTGTAGGTTCGCTCATTTGTGGGGTTTACCTAATGCAGGGAAGAGACGACCGATATGCAGTACCAACACTTTTGCCATTTGTTTTTTCCCAGCTGGGGATGATAAAGAGGGTGTAACAGAGTACAGCGTCCACCTCAGCGGAGGTGTCTAACTCGTTCTTGGAGCAAGAAGATACGATTATATATGAATGCAGGCACGCATGATCAAGTGAATACGCGGTGTAAGCAGGTGTGAGGCAGGATGAAGACATAAGACGATTAGAAGCGTTTAGTGATGGGGAAATTTTTACCCTGTTTTTTTTTTTTTAATTTACAACCGGTAGGAACAGTTAGCCAAACGGTTTGGACATATCACATTTTAGCTGGCACTTTGAGGAATTTTTTTTTTTTTTTCCTGCCGTTATGCTTTATGGCAACGATAAGTGTCGTGCTCTGGAATGGACCAAAACTCGTGCAAGAAGGGGAACACCAATTAGTGAAAATTTTGTTTACGGGATTGTGCTGGGTGGATTTATGTACCGTCTATCCAGAAATGCGATTTTTTTTTTTTTCCTTGCCACAAAATTTTGTACAACCCAGCTGCTGATGATTGTGGCCGGTGGATCCACTCCGCCTTCCCAATGCTTCTGCGCGTATGTGAAGGATGTACGCGTCTGCTCCGTACGCAGAGTAATGTACCGTGCGTATGGGCGCTGCTTTAGTACATTTAGTTATGGCCATATTGATCTGCGTGCACATTCGTCTGCTCCCGTTTAGCCTACTCGTGCGCTTCCCCCCGCCATTTGGTAACACGGGGCTTTAGAGAGAATCCCCCCGACAGAATCCGCCTCGAAGTGCCTCGCCTCCACCTGTGCCGCAGTTTGATTCACAGGATTATCTCCGTGGTTTTTTTTTTTTTTGCATACCAATACGTGGATGTATATACAAGGATATATCACATATGTTATAATGCTTACATTGCATCTATTGTTAACCCCCTCTCGATTTGTTCGCTTTAAAATTTTATGATGTATGCATAACTGGTATATGTTTTTGTAATTTGATGACCAAACTTTTTCCCCCTTCTTTTAATTTGACGTATATTGGGATAAACGAAGAGTTGGGAGAGTCAACTCCCAGCTGGTGACTCGCCAAAACGGCAAGAACAAAAAAAAAAAAAAAAAAAATGACAAAATCTTGCCTGACCCGTTCAGAATTTTTTTTTTTTTTTTTTTCGCTGCCCCTAAGTGATAGCCAAATTGTAGTTCTATAAAAGATTTGATGTAGTCGCGCTCTACGTTTTAGGATAGAACAAAAAAGAGTAATCGCTTTTTTTTTTTTCTTTTTTTTTTTTAAGAATTTTTACCCATGTAATTATATATAAGGCGAGTCTCATTATATGCGAACGAGCATTAGCACAGTTCTGTATTCGCAATACAGTTTAGTCTGTTTTGTGCATGACGTGCATGCAACTCGGGTGGGAGTCCCCCGTGGCTGTCATAAGTTGGTGAATAATCATCGAGGAAGTGACTTCCCTTGGGTGATTGAACAAGCGAAAGGACGAATAGAAGGGGTTAGTGATCTGCCCGTGCGTGAGGGGAAGTAGTTGCAACAGGGGGTAAAACGCGACGTAAACACCACCGCGAAACGCAATGGGGGAACTGCTTTCAATAAAGAACCTTTTCATATGCGCGAGCGAAAGGAGCGTGGAGGATCTGCGGACGGCCATGGAGGGTCTCCTGAAGAAGGAGAAAGCTGAAGTTGCAGAAGGGGAGGAGGCAAAGCAGGGCGGAAAAAAGTACGAAATGATTAAAGATTACATGGACGCAAATAAAAATAACGTGCTCCATTTTGCAATTTACGGAAATAATATGAACAACGTGAAATTTATAATTGAAAACACAAATTTAATAAATAGTATTAACAGCGAAGAGCAAAATGGGTTGATTATTAGTGTCATGAACAGAAACACACAGATCTCAAAATATTTAATTGAACAAAATATAAATTATAATCACAAGGACAAACATATGGCGAATGCTTTACTCTACAGTCTGATCACACAAAATTATGAAATTTTTAACATACTGATGGAAAAGGAAAATATAGACGTCAATGTTAATAGCTTTGAAAAGGGAAATTTATTAAGTGTGTCAATATTTGAAAGGAATATATTTGTGTTAAAAAAATTATTCAATAAATTTATTTGTCCCTTTGTTGAGAAAAGTGTCTATCCTCACCCTGTTCTCTTCATCACATACAGTAACGACAATGACTTGCTTTTCCTTTATTTAACATACTGCTTGTATTTCTGTACCAAAGACGATAAACTATATGAGATAAACAAATTGAACTTTGATCAATCCACGGAAAATATTTACGTCGATTTGGACCATCCACAAGTGATTCGTTCCATTTGGGACAATTCCAATTATGACCTCAGCGCTTTTAAAGATATATTAAACATGACGGACGAAGATGGCACTTCTCTGTTCAGCACGTGTAGCAATAATGGGAACTTCCTCGGGAAAGACATTTTCGCCTACTTCACACCTTCATCGTAGTGCTTGATCGAAGAGATGTTATAGGATTCAGAGCGGCCATAATGTGCACGCCGCTGAAACGCGTACACGCACACTATTTTATCAGTAACGGCCATGTGAACGGTGTGCACATTTGCTTCAAAAATTCGCTCGTCAGTTATGCGTTGCCCCGATGGAATGGCAGCAAATGCCCGCCCACATATTGATGTCACTTTTTTTTTTGCAATTTTTTTTTTTTTTTTTTCTATTTTGTGGGATTGTAAAGAGGCCACAAAATGTGCGCAAAATGTCCACAACGTTTCACTGGGCGCGGCTACCTCCATGTGGGCACCACGCAGGCACACTCCCCCGTAGGAATTTCCCCTCCCAAAAAAAAACACACGGCCAAGTTCCACGTGGGAGGCCCCAAATGGGGGGCGCAATTTCTTCACGGCGGGTACTTTCCGCCTGGGTAGCTTTGTTTCCTCTAGGAGAGGTAATTTGGAGCGGGCAGAAGCTGTTTGCGGAGAGCATCCTGAGGATACTTCCGGCGAACGACTCCATAGACGGCATATTGGTACACCTGCCATATAAGTTTATAAAGCATAGGGTTCAAAGCAGAGGAATATACTTGAACACCAATTTTGATGACCTCGATTCGGTGATCATTTTGGTTGAAATGCAGAAGAAGATTACCAACTTACATTGCAATTTGAGGAAAGAAAAGGGGGAATTTATCAAGGGGGGTGTAATACAGGGGAAAAATACCCACGGGAAACACAGTCACGGGAAAAGCAGCCACACGAAAAACAGCCACGGGGAGGATGTCCTAATTACGAACAATTGTGTCCTCTTTGTTCAAATAAAATATAAAGACAGCTTAAAGAACATTTTCAAATTCATGGATTATGTGTACCAGCATACAAGTGCCACTGCGTTGGTTTTCATTTGTGACAACTTTTTATATGACAACGAGATATACAATCCGCATGAGGATCTGAACACAACGATTTTGCATTCTAGTGTGCTGACCTACTTGGTGCCCTACGACTCCATGATAGCTTATCAGGAGAAGGATCAATATGACCAGTACATGTTTGAGTTATATTGGGGGATCCAAAACAAGAGTGATGTTGTGCATATAAATTATCATTTAGACTTTGGGAAATATTTTAACTACACTTTTTTTCATTACATGAAAAACTTCCTACTCGATTTGAAAGAATATATAACATACGAGATTCATTTTAGTATACACAAAAATTTCACCATCGACCCCCGCTATTGCTTTATTCGTGACTCATCCTACTGCATAAGCAAACCTGATTACATGAACTCCAATGTTGTTCGGGAGGTGGTGGAGCAGCAAGTGCGCAGCTTGTGCGTGTACCAGTTGACCGCCACGCGGGGAGACCACGACAAGCAGGAGGTACAACCGCACCGCGCGGAAGACACCACAGGGGAGCAGCTTCCAACGTACACACACAACAAACGGTTCAGCGAAAAATTCATCCAGTATATAAATGCCCTGTTCGACTTTGGGTTTGAAAAAAATCTCTGCTCCAGTGGTTCGAACGATTTATCAAAAAAATGTTCAGACAAAATTTTAGCCCACTTGGGGGTACCCGTGCAGGAGGTGAACAAATGCTTTTTAAAAAATTTTCATGCCTACATGAAGGACATGATAAAAACCAAGTTTTATGTTTACTCGATACAAATAAATGGGCAGACGTACAAGCTGAAGCTAAACAAGGACATTAGCATACGCCTGATTTGTTCTGCCTTCCGCGTCATGCCCAAGCGTTGCATGGACTACTTTGCGGGCGGCGTTTACGGCACCTCCCTCGTGCGCAAGTAGGCGGCACAGCGGCCAGGCAGTTTCGCGCGAGCATACACACATATATACATATGTATATATGTATATGTACATATTCATATGGCCACCCGTGCGCTCACCCCCTTCCCCCGCAGGAAGAGCAAGAAGAAGGAGCTGGTGGCCTTCTACATCCTGCTGCTCCTGGTGTTGTCGCACATCTTGGGGACGCTCCTGAACTACCTGTAAGTTGGCACAAGTGCAGACGCACCGATGAACAATGTGATATATGTAGTGTATACGATGAGGAGGGATGAAGTACTCCACACGTTTGCCCCTTCCCCGACCGGAATCGCTCTTTGCACATTGAGTTCAGTTTCGCTCGTGCGCGCGTAGCTGAACTGTTTTATTATTTAGAACCTCATGCCGCGCTAATTTCTGGGTTGTTCCACCGCAGAGTATCTTGCCACCTCGACGCGATCGAGAGGAAGGACTAGGTGCCCCTGTTCATCACATGCATGTGAATCACGAATGGCAAAACCACCACGGACGTCCCCGAGATTATGATACAATGGTTTAGTGGTCAAATGAGGAGGTGTCACCCGAGAGCAGAAGAGGTAGCAGCTAAAGTGCCATTTCTGCCATATGTGGGTGGCAGCTGAGGGTCGAACCTACAAAAAGAAAGGTCTTCCGCTCCCTCCCCCAAAAAAAATATATACACATGAAAAAACACACATGTAGATACGAACATGTGCATTCTTATGCAAGTGAATGGTTCCTTTAAGTAACTCCCCCTTGGTCAAATCGTCCGTTGCAAAAAGAACATCCATTTATTTTCCTCCTTTTTTTTTTTTTTATTTTGCAACCACATGATCAGTAGTGTAAAGGGGATATATATGTAGGAAAACATCGCGAGGAAGTATCCACGATTTATCGTAATGTGCCGCTGGTGCAGAGGGACACGTATGTCCAAGTCGTTTCACATTGCAACCACAATCAGTTTTTTTTATTTTTACTTTTTTTTTTTTTTTTCTTCTTTTGTAACCTCTATATCAACCCAACATTTTTATATTTCCTTCATTTTTAAAAAAGCATAAATTATTTTTTTGCCTTAAAAGCATAAATTATTTTTTGCCTTATCTGGCAAGTTCCCCTTTTTTGTGCATGTTCTTTTTTTTATTCCTTTGAGGAGAGCAAAGATCGAGTGGTTGTCAAGTAGAAAAATTTGTTCAATCTTTTGCGCAAACGTCTAAGCATTAATTTCTTTCTTTTTGGTGCATGCCCCTTTCTGCAACATCCCAACCTTGTGTTACCCGCCTTTTTTTTTTTTTCTAATCGAGGCTGGTTGCGTGAGCACACAACGATCAGGTGAGGAATTGACACGGGCACATGCGAACCACACTGTGAACGGATGCTTGTGTCTCTGCCTTTTTATAGGAGCACAAAAATGGTAATCCCGTAAAGGATACATATGTTTTGTCATGTGCTTGTTTGCGCGCGTCGTATTTATGCACACTGTTACTACACTAATTTGAATTGACCACTGCAAGGCGCTCATTTGAATCCCCCACTTTGCTTTCAACCATTTGAGCCACCTGCACAAGTGCAAAAAAAGAATAATTAGGGGCCGCTGAGTTCTACTCGCAGCCGCATGCGTACGTATTATGTCTGCATGGCATTTTTGTGGACACTCTTTTAAGTGGCTGTGGCATCCCACCTATGTCCTGTCCATTTGTAGAAATTTCTCTGAGCAGGGTTTAGGCAATTTGTTGTTCTTCATGGCCCCTTGGAGATATCACATTTGGAATCGGAAAAAAAAAAGGTGTGTGACGGATTTGCCTCCAATTTGAGCAGCCAGCTACCGCAGAATCTGCGTGGGTGAGACGTCGGAGCAGCGCATGCTGCCTACTGAGGAGAGAATTATACATATTAAATCGCGCACGTAGCTATATAAACAGCTGTTCCTGTGAAGAGGCCCCCAAAGGAAAAAAATAATAATAAAAATAATAATAAAGCAGCCCCCCAAACCATTTGCCAACTCCTCGAGTGAACTACCAGAACGAGCCACGCAAGTCGACAAAATGAGGCAGAAGAAAACGCTCAAGGTGAGCATCCACGAAATTAAAAAGTACTGCCCCTTCGTGAAAGACATACAACTCTTTTACAATGCCAACGAGAGCAAAAGCAAAGACAAGCAAAACAAAAACAATGTGGTCTTGTCAGTCATGTCCAATCTGTGCCCAGTGGGAAAGGCCATTAACGAAAAGCGTCTAATCATAATAGACAACAAATCGAAAATAAATATTTTTAAAATTCTCAGAAAGTCTAATATCATATCGAGGCATTTGGTGGACTCTTTGGCAGCTCGACGTGGGACGATGGAGCTAAAAGGGGAGCAGGGGGGTGAGGAAAATGGGGGGGTTAGTGGAGTTGGTAAAATATTGCGTGGTGCGTATAGTCTTACCGATGACGTTTGCAGAACGGAACATAACCTTTGTGGAGAATGCGTGTGTAAGAGCTGGGGCCAGACTCCCCCACAAGAAAATACCCTTAGTGTAGTTGAAAATAAGCCCAGTGGCTCATTAACATGGTCAAATGAAGCCTACAAAATATTCCAAGAACAGTGCACAAAGGATTTAAAAGAACTTTTAAATAAACTTTATTTAGACAAAAGATACAGAGTGTTTACCATCCTAAACAAATGTAGAAAGTATTATCCAAATGTACATGTCGAAAATGGCAAATTATTGCTTCCCATTTTTTTTGAATTTTTTCAAAATTTTGGCTACAAAAGTTGTGTTGGGAATGGTGCTTACAGAATTGGGGGCGACTATGATGCCTTCGCGGATGGATTGAAAAGTGTCTCCTCAAGGAAGGAAAAAAGTAATACGTGGAAGGCTTCCCACTTGTGGACATCTCCCCACGTGTGCACACCTACGATGAGGACAACCAACAACCAAACGGTCGTGTGGTGCTCTAACGATTATCTATGCTTGTCGAATAACCAGCAAGTGATAGATGTGGGAATAGACACGTTGAAAAAAATTGGGAACAGTAGTGGAGGCACAAGAAACATCTCAGGTAGTTTACTAAATCATAGTCACTTGGAATATATTTTGGCTAAATGGTTTAATAAAGACAGTGCATTATTATTTACTTCGGGGTATATAGCAAACGTGGGTGCATTAGAAACATTGGGAAAATTACTAAATCTTGTGTTCGTGTCGGACCAAATGAATCATGCATCTATAATAAATGGAATCCGAGAATCCAGATGTGAAAAAATTATATTCAAACATAACGATATGGTAGATCTAGAAAAGGTTTTAAAAAATTTAAGAACAAATAAAGAATATCAAAATAGAAAAATTATGATTGTGTTTGAATCCATTTATAGTATGTCAGGCAATATTTCTAACATTCCACGTATTGTTCAGCTAGCCAAAAAATATAATGCACTTACCTATGTTGATGAGGTTCACGCGGTAGGATTGTACGGAAAAACGGGTTCTGGATATTTAGAAGAATTAAATCTATGTGATCATATTGATATAATTAATGGTACTTTATCCAAAGCGATAGGTTCTTTGGGTGGGTTCATTTGTGCCAACAAGTATTATATTGACGTCATTAGATCCTACTCTCCCCATTTTATTTTCACCACGTCCTTGACGCCTGTTAATATTAACACATCTGCGGAGGCCATTCACATAATTCAGACGGACATAAATTTGAGAAATAAATTTCGTCAAGTTGTCCAAAAGACAAAGGAAAAGTTGGAGCAAAAGGGGATCCATATTATGAAGAACAACTCCCACATTGTTGTGGCCTTGATTAACTGTGCTGAGAAATGCAAGCAAATTTGTGACGAGCTGCTGACGGAACATAATATATACCTGCAGCCGATTAATTACCCGACCGTTTCGAGGTAAGGAGGGAGCGCGTCGTCGTCTTTACACCACCATGCGTTTGGACGCTGCGTTTGCTCCACGTTTTTGCACCCAACCTATGTACGGTTTATACCTTCGCTTGTGTTCTCATTTGCTGCCATCTCCCCCCACACACACATACACATACACTTGCCACTCCTCAGGGGATCGGAAAGGATCAGAATCACGCCCTCGCCGTACCACACAGATGAGCACATTGAAAAACTGGCGAACAGCCTTTATCTGCTCTTCAAGAAGTACCAAGTAAATATGTTTGATAGGAAGAACAGTCAAGCGGAAATGAAGCTATAGTGCTAGGCGCTGCGGGGCCTATCACCCCGCTTACTTTCTTTTTGTCTGACTTGTCCACGCGCAGGTGATGTATCGCTTGCCACATGTGTATACATATACATAAGCAGATGCATGTGCAACTTTTTTTTTTTTTTCGACCTGTTGACCAAATTGGCAAAATGCGACCACACACAGGACTGTCAAATCGGATTTGAAATTTTTCGAAAGCCGCACTATTCCACGCTGCATAATTTTTTCCCACCATTTGGTTTACACGCCCTGCATCCATCACATATATGTGTGAATACTCGGTGAGGGCAGGCACAATTTTTTGCTGAGTCGAACCTTTCGAACGTGCATAATGATGTAGAGGTCGCCCAGAGGGCCAACCGTGGGAACGGGGGAGCTACAAGAATGAGGCACATTAGAAGTGTCTCCTTGTATGTAACAATTTCTTCGCACGATCAATGCAGTTAGAAACGCACGATTGAATGAATCAGAATTAGCGACAACAAATACACATAAACGACAATATTGTACGCGTGAAAGGCTTTTCATTTCTGCTGCGTGAATTTACAAAATGTTATATTTCCCCATTATGTACCTTGTTCGCACTGCAGTTGTACATATTAGTTACCTCGGCGAACAGCCATTTTTATTATTTTTTTTTTTTTAAACGTTTAGCCACGAACACAATGAAGACAGACAATTTTGTTAACATGTCTCGAGTGGGTAGCAACGTAACAACGGATTGGAGAAAAATGGAAAGTACATCGAAATATTATCGTAACTGCAGTTTTGCATTTTCCAAAATGTCCCATTCTGTATACACTTTGCAATTTTCGCTCTTACTAAATGGGCTTTACATTTTCGCTAGCCATTAAAAAAAAAAAAAAAAAAAAAATTCCGTTCAGGTAAATTCATGCAGAATGCTAAAATGGCTTTGTTGCTATCAGACGTATGGCCTTTTTTCACGTGGTTGATCGCAACACATGTTTAACTATTCTTTGCAACAAGTGTACTACTTGTAAGCTTTCATGTGACATTATGTTCTCATATTCACCTGAACGGTCAGGCGATTTTTCACTTTTTCACATGCTTATACGTGTATAATGTGGAAAAAAAAAAAAAAATCTAGCCTTTTAAAAGAGAACTTGGTTTGGTACGGGGAATAAAAAAAATATCAGCATAGAAAAAAAGTGCCACTTAATGTGTATCGTATAATTCGAAGAAATCGATGCATTTCTGGGAAGAAGAAATGTTTAAATTTACAAGGCAAAAGGTAGGCGCGAAGAAAGTAAATGCACAAAGCACAAACTATTTTTTCGCCATTCCTCTTTTGCTCTCTTGTAATTGTTCGTTCACCTGCCGCTTATTAATTTTTCCTTTTTGCGATAGAGCCGCTAACACTTGCTGCCCATAATCCGCTGCGTGTGCACCCTCTCCACTGAAGCACGAATTGCCACAATATGGAACCCCCTACAGTATATGAGCACGTTAAATATATATGCAAATGTGCTCTCATTTTACATACGCATTTATGCACAATACGCGGTTAGTGAAAAGGGTACAAAACTGTGAACGCAAAATTCGTTTCTTCTGGGAAAAAACGAAAACAAGGCATTTTTCACTATTGGAGGAAAAAGTTAAATATAACGTAAAAAAATGTGAACAAGTGTAAAAAAAAAAAA